CTTCTTCACCAACAGAAGTGTCTGTGTTGTCAGCATGCCTAGCTGTGGTAATAATAATACATTTGCATTAGGGCTACACGATTAATAACGGTTGAATCAAAATCACAATTTTAATGCTCACAATTAGCAAATCACTGCGTCTGCAATTCATTAAGTCCATTGTGAAAAAATTGCATAATAAGACAAACAATACCCTCTTAAATTTAAAACCTTTTTGTATACAGTAATTTGATTATTGTATTCTCTAAAGAAGTTTTACCTGTGGATCAAGTATCTTTAGACACCGTTTACGCTTATTATTTTAGAACACAATTGTAATTGAAAAATCCCTTATTTTTATTATCTTATTTCATTTTAACCATAACAAAAACATTTAATCCTTATTCCAATTGCCAATGAGACAATATCAATATGATCTAAAATGAAGATAAAACAAATTCAAAGGTTAAATTCTAACCTTTGATAGCTTATACTTTATCATGTTTTGCAATATATTCTACTTACAGAAAGAAAAAAAAATGTTTCTGAAGTATGTGGGAATCTTGTAGAAGCCATTTGGTCCGTGTAAAAGAAGGAATGTAAAGAATGTATATGGAACAATAGGCTACTATAGTTTATTTTGCATATTGTAAAACGCATGGAAATCACAAGCAGATATTTTACCACGATTATTGTTCAAACCTAATTAGCATGCATACCAAAAAAAAATCAGAGAAGGCTATGGAATGCACATAAACATGGATGTACTTTTACTAGCTGCTTCTGTCTCACTATGCATCAGTTGCCAAGTGCTTGCTATACCCTTTCCCTTCAACAGTGAAATTAGCTGCCACCACATAAAGTAGCGCCATGCATTATCCAGCAATTAGAGTGTGGCTTATTAACTACACTATAATGTAAATTAAATGAGCAATAAATTCAATATCTTGAAATAGAAGACTACATAATTGTAAAAAATGATATACTGTGCTGATCTTAACATACGGGCGATGAAACGCTGTATAAGTGGGCACATATCAACGGCCCATTAAATGTAGTATTACGTTTATACAGGAGCGTCACGCTGCTCGACACGCAAGATAAAAGGAGGGGTGCACTTCAGTTGGCTCCAAACTGATTTGAAATGTACTCCATGTGCCTCGTATAATGACCTCTTCCCCAGCACTCCACACAACTAATAATGATAATGTACTTCCACTGTAGGCCACACTGGAAACAAAAATGACAGAAACATCAACAGGGAGCTGTGCCAAAATGAGATTCATCAGTTTGAACAGAATGTCGTGTTTTTCAGACTTGCAATTGTCTATTAGAAGGAATCAGTCCAGGGACCTTCTTGATGTGATGCGTGCATATTGTTTTTTGTACTCTTTCACCCATCAACGACAAAACATGCACAGTTGGCTAATCCTCCAACAAGCAAATCCAGACCAAGAGCTCGTCTGAAGATCTGAAGAGAGTGAAGTCACCACTGCACCTGCTACTCAGTCTGGAGAGACTGGTTGAAGGATGGGTCGAACGCAGGCATACAGGGGGTTAATTTGTCCTTTCGAGAACGAGAGTCTACAAATACTACAAATAAATAGCTCTTTTCTATCATCTTTGATTTTTAGCAAGCATGATTTCCTTTTATGGACAGAGCCATTATTATCGTAATATCTGTTCCACATTTAAACGGGTCTATATTACATATAGCTTTCCAGTACAAGCTCATTTAAGAGTAAACCAATTAAGATTACATTACATACTTTAACAGTTTCATTTTTCTCAGTTCTGTGAGACTATTTAGTTAGTACTGCCGCCCCAGGTTCTGTATGCAAACGACAACAATGGGAAAACAATGGGAAAACACAGCACCCTTCAAAGAAGAATCAACACAGAAAATGGAAAATATGAACACAGGGAATTCACAAGGAGTGTATTATATGTTACAAGATCTGCTCCAATAAGAAAGAAAGAATATAATGTGAGAATCCAGTACTGTACTTCACAACGACGAGTTTTGACAAGGAGTTTCCAGCTGGATCGAAAACTATGAGCGCCGCACCACAATGCGTTTCTGTGCTTGTCATATACAGCAGAAAATGCAACAGCTGTACCTCTGCATGCTACAAGGATACAGACTAAAATGAAACAAATGTAAAATAATGCATGTTCTCTGCAGTTGAGGAGACGATTGTTGACCAAAAATTGAAAGAGCATGTATAAAGTTTCTGGATTTTTTTGTATTTTGTTGTAGTTTTTCATTTATTGTACAAAGAGCTAAACTAAATTATGACTGTTGCATGGATCCATTTAAAGGGCCTATGCATATGAAGATGACATACTAACTATTGTTTTTATAATTAGAGACAGTTATAACTATTGGAATGATGTTGGGCTTGTGACTGCATCTTGGCTGGTTAGGTGATCCTGTATGGCCCTGCATTCATGGTTCAAATAGTCTGCATTTCCACCCACCTCCAGTTTTTCAACATTTTGAAACAAATACTAATTTGCTTTAAGAGTGACTTTTTTCACTTGGGGCAGGTTTACTTGTATTGGTCAATTTGATACAGTTCACAAATGTATAACATCACTGAACTGTTTTAAAGGCGGTGAACAGACTTCGAACCAGGCACACTTTGTTGAGTCTTTTCACATCTCCTCAAATTAAGCATCAATAACAATCACTGGTCCAGTCAAGTTGAACCATATCTAGATTGCATTTTTAGGAATGTATCAAAATTGTTATTGATCTCACTGTACAATGTTTATCACAGTATTTTGGAGAGGCTCACTGTATTATAAAATAGCTCACAATATTGTGCTTATGATGATAACAACAAACAAAATTATTTATTACTTGTGTATTTATTGTTTATTACAAGAGGTGTGATCGAGTGTTGACATCACCTTAGTGTTTGCAGAAGAAGCAAATTTGAACATAGGCTAGCAGGAGCCATAATTTCCTCATAAGGGCATTTGTTTGGTGAGGTTAGCTTCAAGCCGTAACAGGGACAGATGTGTTGCTAAGATGGTTGCTAAGGCAAACTGGAGTGTCCCCCGCAAATGAAAGCATCTGATCGGTCAATCATTAAGGACACACAAACGGTTACAAAGCTAGAGGAGTTGACTTTTAAATCCAAGTCAACAGGAGCAAGAGCGAGTCGGAGAAAAACTTTGTCCATGTGCACTTCCCCATTGAGTGTAATTAAGCCAGGGGGTAAGCACAGTCCATCGATACAATGTTTATGAGTTAGATGCTCCCTTTCATAATAAGCAACATTTTAAAATCCTCAAAAAAGCACAATGGTTGTCTTCCTCAATCAGCTTCATAAACCTCTTCCTGACAACGGTTAAACAGGCTGAGAATATGCAGCTGAGCAAATCTCTCCTGCATCCATTCAAAGCCAACAACTTGAGCAAAGGATGGACACGTTCAATCACTAAGCGTGTCACATGCCAACTGGCAGCCAAGAGTAGCGTAACAACTGTATGTTTCCTTTTGTTTCTCTGCGATGGCGTCCTTCAGCTGCGCCTTGAGGCTTCACGACAGCTCGTATTGATCCACTTCACCATCACTCAGTCATGATGAACGATTTCAGACTGGCAAAACGTCTTGGGATTATGCAACCTTCTGAGATATGACCAGATGTTATGATTTAGTAGTAGGTCATGCACCTCAGAGTGTAACCACAGGATAGAATAGGCCTCGACTAATAAATATAATTAGAGCGGTAAGAATGAATCAATCTCAAAATGTATTAATAATTGTTAATGGCTCCGACACATGTAAGTGTGTGGTATATGGTATGTGGACTTAAACTTGCAAAAAATTAAATGCAACATAAAGTAATTGCATAGTAAATAAAAACAACAAAAATAAATTGTTTTTTTCTGGTAACATTATATTTCAGGAAGTCTTGCTCCAACACAATTAATCATGTAACTGTTTTGCTTGTTTGTTTCATGCTTGACTCCTGCAAATGAGTTTGTTTTCTGAATGTACTGGGGGCATTGTTTTTCCCAGCACTTATAACCTCAGTAATAGATGGTTCTTTGATAATTACCTCCTATCCCTACTCTCTGGTCAGAGTATCTCAACACCTATTGTATTCACTATTGAATGGATAGTGTTGGATTGTTTCTTGGCGCTATGCTAAGTTTAAATCACATATTTGGAGGATTAACAAAGAAAAATGCTGGATGGTGTCAAGATGAAGACTGTCGGCACTCCACTACTGTGAGAGCCTGTGTGTTTGTAGCTCCAGGCGGCTGGCACAGAGACAGTCAGACCAATGTAGAACATGAGGTCAGATAGAAGGGATTTTACACTTTCACTGCTGACTGTCAAGCTTTTCTAATACACAAGAGGAGTGTGGAGGATGGATTACTTTGCATTCACCTGGCATTATTTGATTTGATGGCACAGCTAATCAAATTAATGAGCTAAGAAGTCGCTAAACAATGCAATAAATGTCATTCAACTATTCAACGCAGACCATAACAACAAAAAGGAAATTAAAGGATTGAGAGCGATGAGCTGTGAAAACAAGTCAACACACTAAATATTCAGATTTAATGCAAATCACTGTTAACAGCTGCAGATACAGAGAGAGAGCAGGGAGAGAGGGAATACCTGTTGATATTAGATAGTAGCAGGGAGCAGATATCAAAATACTTTCAAGTGGATAAAGTGGGGAGCTGGGATGCAACTGTTGCTTGCCATTTAAACAAGGCCTTGACTGACAATACCACACGCCTTTTCCGTCACAGGGAGATATTACAGGAAGTCTGAGCTGACATTTTAACAGATTTACGTGCGGCACATATTGTCAGCGTCTACAATACACACAGCCAGAAACACAGGAGCGCAACACCGAGGCTGACGCATGCAACACTGATACAAGCACAGTGGGATCTGAGCACGGATCTACAATCTGGGGGTGAAATAAAGGCTCGGGCATGGGGACTGCACGGGGTCCTGCAGTAAACACGATGCAAACACTAGTGCAGGGATGAGAGCCCCACACGCCACATTCCCCATCAACGCGCGCAGCAGAGACAGCAGAGACAGCAGAGGGAGACTGCGGAGACTGCGTATAGCCTGGCACTGGCACCAGGGCTGCAAAGTGCTGTGCCGAACCACTCCATGTGAGACGAGAGCTGCAATGCGTGTTTTCTTCCACCTGAAGTGCACCGGTACATGCGCAATGTAATGAGTTACGATGTACAAAAGCATGCATTTTTTTTGTGAACGCTGACGGTGCGTCCATAAACTGCGCGTATACAACTTGACAAGCTCTGCGGGCTATACGACGATGTTGCCTATGCACGCGTAATCTGCTTTACTTTACTTATTTTCTCTTCTCTTGCAGTTCTGCACAAAGCGATCAAGACAACAGCGATAACCGGACTGCAAGACTCGGGGAAAAGCTGAGCAAAAAGTGATGCTGAGATTTGAAAGCCAAGCTCCTGCATGTGCGCAACACAACTTCTTCCCCGACACTCTCTCCGGGCTTTGCAGTGCATAGTCTCCAACACGACATAAAGCACGGGGGGAAAACTTACCTTTTGGGAGGAACGCTGCTGAAATGACGAAAATGGCCAGAGAAAAAGCGAGAGATCCGCTCCCCGTGATCGCCATGTTGGACACCTGCTTGAGACTGGCGGTGCTAAATCACCTAGAGACGGCCATGGGATGAGAATGTAGACACATGAGGCGAAGGGAGGGCTGAGCAGGGAGCCCACTATCATATTGGGCTGCATTATGTTGCAATGACACACACGGGTCTATGAAATTAAACTGCAACATTACTGCAATAGACCGTAGGAGTATTTTAAAATGTCCAAAGTGTGTTCGCGGCCGATAAGTAAGGGAACCAATCTCCCATTACGGGAATTAAACCTGCAGACAGCAGGGGAAGTGTAAAGCGCCGTAGTGCATTGAGGTAACCATAAAGCCACCACTGAGGACCCACAGACACTTTATGGGGATATTATAGTGATTTTCCTTTACGGTTATAGTCTGCTGGTTAATGTCGGGGTGAGGGAGGCGCAGGAATAACACATTGTAAGAGGACGGGTCTAGAATTAACATGGTATATCCTATATGCATCATATATTTCTGACTATTAGATTATAATGCCATAAATCCTAGTCAGGACAGAAAGAAAAATACAATAGTGGAAGTTTGAACAAGATATGCTGCTCACCACATTAGGAAACCTCACAAATGGGAGTTTTAAGGGTATATATCACTTCCTGTAAGTTACAGTGGATAAACAATATCTGTGATGTTTGTCATGTTTGGACTTATTACATACAGTATATTATATTGAATGTGAATGTGGAAATTCCAGATCCAGCTGATAATCACTTACTCCATTGTCTGTACAAATGTCATGTAATGCGATGGCAAATCTATAAGCACCCTCAGAGAGAAAAGGAAATATTTTTATTTTTTTATGAATACCATGAAAGCTATGGTGACTGATTCAATGTTATTACTGAATTTCACTGGGGATCCCTGCGTATTGTTAGTCACCGTAAGTTGTTTGTTTGAAAAGAGGTCTCTTTCCTCCCATGTATTAAGTGTTTTATTGATTTTTCCCAACAATATGAGAGGATAACACTGACATTCTCATTTGTCAGATAAAAAAATACACCAGTGTGCTATTGACGCTGAGAAACACAAAGTTTGACACAAAGACTTTCATTCACACATCACTCTGAGGTTCACAGCTGTCATGAATTCAGACATATAGTTCAAACAAGTATTTGACATCTCCACAGCAGAAGAATACTAAGAAGAACTTAAGATCCATTTCCACCCACTTCACACCCGGACGTCACACTGGGTTTTGCACACACTTACACCAAGTATGATTTTGTTTTAAACATGTCAATTACAGGTTGTTACAAGGCCTCTAGAAAGTGTTTTTCTTGTATTGTAGGCTGATGTGTAAGTGTCGGTATGATTGATGTGGGGAGCATAGGGATCTCTAGAACCTTCTGTGATTTCTTTGCTAAAACGGCCAATAAAGGAAGTATTGTGGTTTCTTTTCACGCTGCTTTCTTAACATGGTTTTTATAAGTGCACATGTTATAGACAAAAATAAGAGAGAAAGAAGCTAAATAATTAACCAATTTCCAATAACCAAAATCATATCGAAGGAATACATAATTATACTTAAATTAATATAAATGAAAAGTCAATTTAGGAAAAATAAAAATCACTATGGTATTTAAATTGGTAGTATTTATTCATGTATTTGTTAATTGGAATTCCACTTTGTAAGAAAAGATCTTTTTCTGCATGAATCAAGAATTATGAATACAAATGTTATTTTTAATACGTATTTTCAGATAAACCAAAGTACACTGATGTGAAATACACATACCTGTCGGGTTGTCAAAAGTATTGAAAATCAGACATTAATCAATACCTTAGTATCAGAACTAGGTCCTATTTGAGCAATCGCACGGGACAAATGTTATCAATTAATCAAGAACTATCAAATAACTTGTTGCCCCATAAAAAGTATGTTTTTTTAGTTAATTTAAGCTCATGTGGTATACATTTGACTTTGATTTTGAACTCTATAAAGCATACAATAAAGTAAACTTAACTCAAAATAATTTAATTTTTTAATGGGGCCACAAGTTCTTGTTAAACCTTTTCCCCTTTATTGGTATCAAGGTATGAAGTATAGTACTGAAATCAGGTTTGAAATATATTATTGTGACAGCACTATAGAGACGTCACTCCATTTGGAGCAGCCATCTTGACGGAATAGAAAATGCAAAACCGCTGGTGATACGACAGGTCATTGCAAAATTTTCCTATCATGCCGGCGCGATACTGTGCAGTTGGATGCGACCAGATACGTGATCAGACAAAAGGAATATCTTTATACCGTATCCCAAAAGAAACAAAGCGGAGAAACAAGTGGTTGGCGGCAATAAACATTGGTTAGCTCAGTTAGCATCAGTCACGACTAGGGCTTTGACTTTTGCACAAAAATCATTTTTGAAGTTCTTTTGTTTATTAATTTGAATATTCGAATATATTCAAATATTTAATTATAATTTATTAAACAGCTCCTCAAAGCTAGCTGTTACTTCTGTCTGTACAGAGAAGCTAGCCCACGCTCAATAAACATATACCAATCAATCAATCAACACCATTAAATGTTAATCAGAGAATACAGTATACATATACATCCTTAACACAAATGCACGGAGGTTTTCAGAATTATTTGTTAACGTTTACATGACGAAAATACTGTTTTAATGTGACAAAAAGCGATTGTAATAAACCTGGAAGTAACCATTAACATGAAATGAACATTTTAGGTCTGATTATGGATTTAGGTTCGGTATATTTTAAGTTTATTTGAATAGGGACAAGTATGTATATAAATGGGTAACTCACCGCTGATGTTCAGAATTCTTTGTTCAGTTTCCATGTAGTTCCAGAGAGTTTTTGAACAAGCTAGCTTAGCTCCATTGCTGCGGAGTCGGCGGACAGATTTCGTCAAAATGGCTGACATGTGGCTATGGGTCATGTGACTGGGAGATCTCTATTGGTGGGCACCATTTGGCTCGCGGACTTCTGATGAAATAGTCCTTGTTTAGATGTTTCCACTGTACGGCGCCCCTCCCATAAACATGTCTGACACCTCAGGCAGTGGGCTCATGTAATGCTAGTTCAGAAACATAATATATGTATTAAACATAGAAATGACCACATTCACATAGAGATCCATGTGACATATTGCTAAAAGCATATCATTTCTTTGAAGGTGAAAACGAAAAGAAGAATGAATATTTATAAATGGTTATCATGTTTTGTAAAATTACAGTACATGTACACAAATCATAATATTAGATGTGAATGGGTCTTACTTTTGTTCGTGCAAGATGTATATGAGTTTATTTCCGGTGGATGCTGGTCAAGCAGATTCATCTGATATTCTACCTATTCCTTTTCCTGGCATTATGAATACAATAATCATTGTTTGCGCAATGAAATTTCTACCTCGCTTCCCTTTGCTGATGAATATCTTGTTTAAAGTATTTGAACTGGAAAATATACTCTGTAATTTGAATGCCAATGAGTCCAACAAATCTGTTTGGAGAGAAACATTATATTGTGCTCTGTTATTGCTTTTTTATCTATGAAATGATTTTAAAAGTTTCTATTCAGAGTCTCATGGCTGTATAAAATGTGCAATTACTCATCCCATACCCTTTGAATGTGACCTTTTGTTTGGAAATAGAAGGTTTGCATCGCAGGATGATTGTTCTCGGTTAAACAAATGCATTTTGTGGCAGTTTGGTTCTGCGATAATGTGTGCACTGAGATGCTTGGAAAGATTGTGGTTTAGCCTTGCACTGCAACAGTGTTGGCCTATAGGCTTTAATGAAGACGGCCAAGCGAGGGTCACCACCTTGCCTTCACGGCACACAAAGGCTTCTGCTGCCCATTATGTTTCTCAAGGGCTATATTTTGTAAACATGTATCACTCTGTGTGCTAGAGCTCCAGTGGAGGCAGGCGGTGTCGCTTGAATGGGCTTGACCATGTTGCTGTTGAACCATATTCAAACTGTTTTACAGAGGAAAGAAATTCCGTAGAAAATGGCTTTAACTTTAAGTGTGCACTCTCCCTTCCTCTAAGCTTTTTACCCATTAAGCTTTAGTGGTTAAAGTGCTTGACAAAATGTTTCCAGTCAGTTGAGTATCCCCACCATCAAGATACCCCCAACTGTCTGAAATAAAATTAAGCAATATTAATAGAATAATTGCGAAGTCCATCCAGTTGGTGAATCAGTACTGCAATGATAAGCTTTAACTCAACACTGCATTTTGGAATATTGAATAATGCATCCCCTTGCTGTGCTGGTCTGAAATTTTGGAGTGAGCTAGACAGATGGTTATAGCTGGGATTTCAAAGTGATGGCGGAAAAACTAACGTTGCTAGTCCCTTTGCCAACTCCTAATTCTTTCATCCTTGCGAGTTGCACTTAACGAAAAGCAGTCCCTTGTTGCCTAAATGAAAGTGCACAACAAAGCGAATCTGCTGACTGTCAGTATTCAGCACATCAGCGTGCCTGGGTGCCACAGCATACTGAGCAGAGAGAGAGCGGCACGCGCCCACCGCCAGCTCCCTGCTTTAAGGCGTCTGCAGCCTTGGCCCCTCTGAGGTAAATGGATGAATGGGGACTTTATGGAGATGAGGAAGTGTAATGGTACTCTCTCCTCCATGCCGGCAGCTGGAACAGTAGCTCTCTGTGTCTTTTATCAAAGACATGAAAGGGGGACAATAAGCCTCTCTGCTATCAACAATATGGTGTCATTTGAAGCAGATTATCCCTCTGTTGAAAAAGAGCAAAATAAAAGACGAGACAAAAGATACAGTTAGGTGCCAAGGTTTT